AACGACGCCTGACATTCAATCATATCGCACCGATGGGGCCGATCGCCGGTATGCGTGTGCTTATGGCCGCGAAGCTGGTACGGCGCCAAATACGACTTCTCACAGCCTAATTGGTTACCATTAAAAAATCACAAACAAATTAATGAGTACAAAATGAAGGGCCGGTGGCGGTCAGTGCGGGAGCGCCGCCACTGGCCATCAGGGATACACATACCGGGCCAATCGCACTTATGAGGCTTATCCAGCGTATGACAGGCGCGCTTGTGATTCTTGAGCAGCTTATAGGTGCTGAACCTCCACGTGCAACCCTCCCAATCGCACCCGTACTGCTTCTCGGCGCTATGCGTACGCTTGTGCTCTTTGATACTCCCGGGGTCTGAACAACTGATCCCATAATGAAATAAACAATAGACAATTCAAATAAGTTGATCACAACAATCAGATGGTGGTAGTGGTGGCGCAAACACACGCGTACTGTACCTGTATTTGCAGTCCTGGAAGTCGCAGCGGTAGGGCTTTTCGCCGGTGTGTATGCGATAGTGTTTCTGAAAGTTACCGGAGCTGTCGGTCGCGTAGTGGCAGTCATTCCATTGGCACCGGAACTTCTTGGCGCCGGGGGTCAGGTCTCCTATAGTGTGTACGCAGAAATAAATCACACGTTATAAACACACTTCACTCGATATAGTGAACAAATAGTGGTTACCTTTCATCCGCTTAGCCCTCGGCCGGCGACCACTGGCGGCGGACTCGTCACCGGCCGCCGCGGCCAACAGTACGCTGTCGTCGATGGTCTGATTGCCTCCACTGCCCGACAGCAACAGATGCGAGACATACTGAACGCTGCCGTCGGCCGACATGAGTGTCGTCGTCTGATCGACGATCTCATCGTCGCCGCCGTCGTCACCGACGCTCAGGTCCTCGTCATCGCCGGTCTCGTCGACAATGCCGTACGTGTCGTCATCGGCGCCGGCGGTCATCATATCGCTGGCTGTGGTCTCAATGGCCGCCAAAGAGTCGCTGTCATCGCCAGCGATAGCGGTGTCGTCAATGCCATCGCCGGTGCGGTCATTATCATCGTCGCCGCTGTCGACGACCACTTCCGGGCCGTCAAACTCCATGCGATTTAACAGACACTTGAGGTGACAATAGTCTTCGTCCAGACGTTGCAGTTCCCGATCAAAGGGCACCAATTGGTGACCACCTGTGCCGCCGCTGCCACCGGTGGCGGTCACCTCTGCGGTGATAATGTGGACCTTTTGCTCGAGCGATGTCTTAATGGTCTCCAATGTCTCCAACAATCTCTTGAGGACTTTATTACAGGCCGTCAGCGACTCGTTGTCCGACTCCAGGAGTCGGTTGTTGTCCACGAGTTGATCGTACGATGTCTTCAGCTGTTCGTACGCCTCGTAGTCCACAATACCGTCCATTGATTGGTCCACTTTTTTCGGTCAATTTCGGTCAAACTCTTTGGACTTTCGGCCAAATAAATGCATTATATTTTTGGTCTGTTTTTTTCAAATGAAAACAATTTATTGTTTTTTTCGCTTTCCTTTGCGTTGGGTTTGTAGTCATAAATGACGTCAATATATACTTTTGTGCCGTTTATGAACAGTCGTACGCAGTGTTAAAACGTGTAGTTTTTATAGTGTATTAAAGGCCCAAAATAGCGGTCAGATTAATGTATTAAATGGTCGACAGTTTTGGCCGTTTTATACCAATAGGTTTTGTATGCATTAATGCTATACTGAATACATGTAAAAAGGCATGAATTGGTCAACGCTTTGAATGTCAATCATATGTCAAAACGTATAATGCATTCAAAAATATTGTAAACAATAATTATTTTTTTGTCAGTTTTTTGTCAGTTCTCTCTTGAGATAAGAGTTGTTTAGTTTTGATTAAAACTAATCATTCATTAATGGATTAAAGCGTGGATTCATTTGACAATTGCCTACACGTGTTGTCTCTGCAGCTGAAGACTGATCCGAAGGTGAGAGAGGGAGGAGAGAGAGAGAGTTGTGAATGAAGTGATAATTGCGATAATAATAGTCATTATAATCAATGATTATTAATCACAGCTCAAGACATCCGGCGATTAGACTATTAGACACGACCTTACAGTACAAGACATCGCGAGTGAAGACATCACAAGAGACCACAACTTCAGACAACAGTTGACAGACAGATCGGGTGACCGGCGATGGACTGTCTAGTGGTGGACCGGATGGGCTACGAGCGCATGAAACTCGAGTGGCAACAGTACAGGGCTCGGGTCCAAGAGGTGGAGCGCGAGAACGATCTGATCCGCAACGAACTCCAGCTGACGAAGAAGTTGTGTCACGCGTTGGAACAGCTGCGAGAGTGTCATCAATCGCAGAGCAAGTGTGTGGACGGCGATCACGCGGGCGCTCACTGTTGTCTCAAACCGGACCGACGACTGCCGGTGACAGTGGCTGACGAGGAAGTGGTCGATGTGGACGCGGCTTACGATCGACAGGTGGACGTATGGGTCGCGGAGTACGCGGCCATCAAGTCTATGCTCAACCAATTGAGTCTTCTGGGCGTCGGTTCGGCCGCCACTACCGTTGACTGCGGCGCCAATACATCTCTGGTCACACATGAGCTCGTGCTGAGCAATACGGCTGTGGCCGCCGCTGCGGCTGTGGATCAGCTCTGGACGACAACCACTGGCGGCGCGACTACTGTTGTGGTGACAGACGGCCAGCATTTGACTAATCCGGACGCCTATCTGTGCGGAGGCGCCGATGGGATGGACACAGAGGTCAACGGTTTGTCAGACGATACGTGTGTTGTGCACAATGTGTTGATAGCGGCCAACGAGGGCGGAGTCGGTGTCGGCACCGGTGGGGCCGCAGACACACCCACTGTTCCGAAGGCCGCCAAACGTAAAATACAAACGAAAAAACTCAAAGGTTTGGATATTTCTTTGGTCTCTCTCTCTCTCTCTCTCTCTCT